GCCGGGCCTAATCCAAGGGGTTCCCGCACCGGCTGCCGCAGCTGGCTGTTGGCCAGTCCTGGATCGGACGGCGACTGGACCCAACCCCACCGCCCCTGGAAGGAGCGACCCGGCCGCGACCAGACCCGCCGGAGGAGGCAGACCCGCGGGACGTCGCAGGAGCAACACCGGACCAGGACTCATGAACCCAGGTAGGCACTGGGGATCGGTACAGGTGCTTGAAGGACCCCGGGAAGGGAGGAAGGAGCCCGGGGCAGGACCCTTTTGGCTATCCTGGGTAGACGGGTTACGGAGAGAATTACCTCTGTCTATCGCACTGGGGCGCGAATGAGCCTCTGCGCTTAGGGCCCCGAGCTGGGACCCGGAGGGAGGGTGGGACCAGGTCCCCCTCCCCATTCCCCAGGGGGATTGAATCCCGGTCAGCAGCAGCGCACGCAAGAAGCAGGGAAGAGTGACGGCTGGACAGTAGGGCCAGCCCCGATTGAGGTCCAGGGAAGGACTGGACTGCGGGCGCAGGTCCCACCCCCCAGAGATGGGCTACAGACGCAGGGTCCGCTGAACCCCCTGGCTCGGCCGGGAGGATGTGATCGCGCTCAACTGACGGGGCTTGCAACCGGGGACCTAAGGCGGGACCTCGTTAAAAGGGACGAAGGGGTTTGCTGAGCCCCCCCTTCCCCTCCGGGAGGGGGTGATCAAACCCCGAATCATCCACAGGCTGCACTTTTCTGTGGAAGAGATGTGGGTGCAGAAGGGCACACAGGATGAGAGACTGGGGTGCAGGAGATGGTGTGAGGTCTGAGAGGGAGTTTGGGTAAAGGAGAAGGTTGTGACCTGGCTCAGGGGATTGGGGTGTAAGGTTAGGGAGGCGGGTATGGGTGCAGGAGAGGATTCTGGCCTGGGGAAGGGGCTCTAGGAGGAGGTGCAAAGTCTTGGAGGGAATTGTGACCTGGGAAAAGGGGGTGCAGTCCACAGAGAGTTTGAGTGGTGACCTGGAGCAGGGGAATGAGGTGCAGGGACTGGGAGGGTGTTTGGGTGCAGGAGAGGATTCTGGCCTGGGGGAAGGGTGTAGGAAGGGGAACAGGGCCTGGGAGGGAGTTGTGACCTGGGACACGGGGGTGCAGAGGGTTTGAATGGTGACCTGAGGGAGGTAGTTGGGGTGTAGTAGAAGCTGGGGTGCCAGAGGCAGGCTCTGGCTAGGAGGCATTTACCTAAGTGTCTCCTGGCCAACAGCCCTGCAGCACCCCCAAAGCAAGCTGGGCTCACTGTCTGCTGCAGCCCCAGGTCACTTTAAACTGCAGGCTGTTCCCTCCATATGGCTCTCAGCTTCAGGAGGGGGAAGAGGCTTGTGCTGCCCCTATTCCCCAGGCCATTCTCTCCACTCTTGTTGGCTGGTTATTTCTAGCCAATAAGAGCTGAGGATTGGCTGGGGGCAGGGAGATTACACAAAGCTGCCTTGGACCCCTAGAAGATCACAGGATCACCACTGTGATCCACAAACCCGTGTTTGGTGCCTGTGCTTCTATACAAGAAATAGTGTGAAGCCAACATGCTGAGTGAGGAACTACTTAACCTAGCCAAAGGAACATATTGATGAGAGGTGTCCTAAACCCTGCTCCTCTCACAGATGTAGGCACCAATCTCTACTTGTGATCCATGAACTGGAGGAAGACAAGGGAAAGATAGGTACTTCTCTGCCTAAGTCATGTGCTGGGCCTGGGAGAGCTTCCCTTTTAGTCTTAAGGATTAAAAGCATTCTGTCAGGATGTGGGAGACCATTGGCTCAAATTGCCCCTTTACCTGATGGAAAGGGATTGGAACAGAGAGGCCACCTCTCAGGGGAGTTGCCCAGCCACTGGGCTGCGGAGTAATTCTCACTCACTCTGGCCCAGCTAATATTAATTATTTAATTAAAATAGAACAGTGCTTCAATAGGAAAGTTAAGGAGCCCTACACTGAAATATTTCATAGTGCAGTGATTCAGACATTCAACTGAGAGTGGAGGAAACCTGTCCAAACCTCTGCTCCTCGGGCAGAGGGAGAGCTAAAATTGATGGTCTCCTCCACAGCTTCAGTGAATGCTTTAACCACTGAAAATGACCAATGAGATGCTCCCCACCTCATTTTGTGTGGAACTATACAGCTTCTCAGCTTGCCTAATGGATCAGGTCCCACATACAATTTATTCAAAGAGCACCTATCTTTTTTCTGCAATGCGTGTGGATGGCTCTGGAGTTCAGGCTGCAGATAGGTGCCTGGACACCTAGAGCAAAGCAGAAGTGTGCATGTCCAGAGGCAGAAATCAATGCCTAAGGAGCTTCTACTGCAAAACATAGGTGCCAAGTGAGCTTAGGTGCCTACGGAGTTGAGCGTAGCCAAGTGAAGGTTTTGTGGTTCACTCTAAAAACGGGGGCGGGACACCTAAGAATCACCGTGGATCCAGGCCTTAGTTCCTGTTCTTCTATAGTCTGTCCTTGCTTAACAAATAATACAGATATCTTCCCCTCTACTTTCTCTTAAGGAACCAACCTTTCCCTTTCTATTACAATAATTCACATTTCTTTCATTAAGCAAATTTTTACCTGTGTTCAATTATGCATCCCACCAAGGAGTAATGTGCAGACTAATTAGCATGCTTAATTGGCCACAATTAACATCTAATTACAGCTAAGCTTTATTATTCCAGGCTGGTATACACATCATTATTACACTTTGCAAAGGTGAATTCTGAACACCCAAGGTATTTTAATTATTGCTCATTTTTGCACTTTCTCCAGTAACTACCCATACTCAGTCTCACTTACCAATCAACAACCTTCTCCACTACTTCTAAGGCTAATTTCTTACAGAATTTATAAGCTGCCCAATGATACCTCTAAATTTAGTTCTTCTGCCACAATTTTCTCCCTAAATCCCCGACTCCACAGCAGATCTTGTCTGGACAGGCCTGTCATACACCCAAATATTTTATGCTTATGTAAAACCTTTCATCTGAAGTGTTCCACAATCTTTACCAGTATGCCTGAATAACAGGGAGAAGGAACTATTTGCACATGAAAAGTCTAGCTAGACAAACTGAGAAGAGCAATAGAGCCTCTACCAAGTGTTTACCTATAAAAACCATATAAGAAATGTTAAACACAACCATTGATCTCCTACCCCCTCCCATATTAATGGTTCGTAAGTCCCCCTCTATGAACTCTGAATTAGAGGCTGTGATGGATAGGAGGAATGCTGGCCAGCACTTGGTGACTAAAGGGTTAAATTCAGGTAACTAAAGATATTGGCATGGAGCCAGAAGAAACAATGGGATACAGTGCTGAAATTTAAATTGTAAATATATACCTGCTGCCTGCAATCTTTGTGTGAGTTCTAAATTAGGAGCTGGAGGGAAGCAAGATGAAGAAATCAGACAGAAAGAATACTGGGTATGGGAATGGACGGGACCTTGAAGTACAGATCAGTTTGGATCGTGAGTAGATAAAGAATGTATGTTTAGTCATGATCAGGGTATTTTTCTTTGCTGTTCAGTTAAACTTCTCTGTGTGAAGTCCATGTGCCTCCCTCCCCCTATTCACTGTACCTTAGCTATGCCAGAGATACCATTTTTTCTCTGGATTTTGATCTGTTCTTTTTGCAGTTGTGATGTAACACCTAGCAACCAAGTATGCTTTATCAAGTCTATCTTTTTGTTTTGTTAATAAAATCACCCTTTTAAAGATGATGATTTGATTCTTGTCGAGAAGGTAACAGGAGGTCTGTGAGTGTGCCTGCCTAAACTGAAGGGCCAGTTATCAGAATTGCAGTTTGTTTCCTGTGGGGTTTTTTTCAGGCTCTCTTGTCCTAAGAGCTTGGGGTACCCTTTGGGAAGTAGTTCTTGGTTTTCAGGGTTTTTAATTCACTTGATGGTGGCAGCCTATCTTCCTGTGCCAGTGAATCTGTGACTCTGAGGAGTTTTTATAAGCAGAGCCTATAGAGGCAAGGAATTTTAAGGTCTCTTGTGGGCCCCCCACCTTCTGCACTTGGATTGCCAGAGTGGGCAACAGCCCTGACCAGAGATATTAGCAAGATAACCCTATTGATTTGACTGCCAGCCCTGTTCTAGCTGTAATTGCCTGCCTTGTATACATAGCTAGTCTGATAGGTAAGAGTATGAATTTAGGCTTTTGTTCTCCCTCCTGAGACTGACGTGCTGTGTGACTTGGATAAGTCATGTTGCTTCTGTGTCTGTTTTATATAAAACAAGGATATCTATCTATATATTTTAGTAAGATCTAGGACCCCCAAATGTGGTGTGCAGCTTCTTCTTATCCTAACTTAAAGCAAGGCCAGCTGCGGGAGGAGCTCTGCACGTTGCTGGCCAAGCTGCTATCCACAGGTGAGGTTCCTGTGCTGGCCAGGGTTCAACCCTTCCTGTACTGGCCTCCAGGCCCCAAAACGCAGGGCCATCCTTACAAATTATTGGGCTCTATGCAACTGAGGGTCCCTCCCAGCTTCTACCAGGATCCAGGTACTTCCCTCCCACCTCCTGCACCACTCCTGCAGGGAGCCTGGGGCTTCCTTCTCCCCATACCCCTTGCTCCCATCCCTGCAGCTTACCAGGACTCGGAGTCTTCCCTGGGGCCAGAATGGAGCTGCAGAGGCTGGGGGCTTCTTTCTGCAGCCAGTCAGGCAGCAGGAACCCAGCCACTGGCCAACAGCACATGCAGGTGGGATCAGGAAGAAATGCTGCAGCCCTGGGCACAGAGCTGCATAGGGGCACCTAAACATGCAGCACAGCCCCTGCCACCCTGCTGGCCCCAGGGGGCTGCCACCAGCTGACCAGCATGGCCCACACTGCAGCCACCTGGGCACATGGCTCTGGGGAGCCCTTGGCAGCCCCAGAATCCCCCACCCTCCGGACAGCGCTGTGCTGGGCCACATGTGGACCCGGGTGATGGCGAGTAACTCTTCTAGTGTTTAATATTTTATTTGCTTTAAAGCTGTGGTAAGAATCTTTAATTATTCCCAGAAAGAAAAACAGAAAATGAAATGAAGTATTGTTCTAGATTCACTTCTAGCCTGTGTAAAACTACTGCTTTGTGTTAGCAGATTTGCTATGTATGGTATGTCCCCTCTCAGTCCTTTACTGAATAAGTAGGCTGTAAGAAAGGATTTTAGCTTGTTACTGAAATATACACCAGTTCGTTTGGCCATGAGAGGGCTCTCTTTTTTTAATCAATGTAACACATGTACTTTGAGGAATGCAACTCCACTTGAGCAGTACTGACTTAGGCCAATTCTGTTGCTTGGTGTGAGAACAAAATCTATTGTCATAACAGTACTGCATCGATGGTACAAAAAACATGCAATTTCTTGAATGAAGCAATTTAATGGAAAAGGAAGTATTTAATAGTCAAAGGGCTACCTATTAGCACTCCTATTTTGACAAAGACAATGTACCTATCTAAAATCCTGCCCGATATCCTCTTCATAAATTATGCCATGTATACACAGAGAGGTGAAAATAATTATAATCACAGAAAGAAAAGGTAAGATTGCTGATGGGTTTTAAGTTTGTTTTTGCAGAGCAAAATTGTAGGTACTTTTAGACTTGTATGCAGCTCTATTACTGTACGTGGCAAGTATTTTCCTTCTTACAAATAATCTTTAGTAAAAGTGTTTCCACCTGCCTTCTGCTTGACAGCATGCACTTAGTTTTAAGTCGCAGCATTGACTTGTTCAGAAGTATCTGGATCACTTGTAGCAGAAACCAAATTGTTCCAAGGCCTTCTATTAACAGGGTTGATCCGCTTTCTATAAAAGGGGAAGAAAAACAAGCAGATTCAAATTACTGACTGTATTAATCTCTCTTCAGTCTTAGCTGAAGGTCTTTACTTGGGTCGAGGGAAATGAAGTTATTATAAGCTTGACTGTTAGCTGTGCAGTGAATATCTATGAGAGAGTGAAAGATTAATTCTCTTACATCATCTCAAAATATGCTAGTGAACTCTGGTTGCAGCACTCTAAAATGTTGTTCTTGATTACATCTTTGCAACCCCAGTGCAGACAACATTTAAACAACTGTCTTAGAGATGAAAAGAAGAAAAGTAAACAGATCTTAACCAGGGGTGACAGGAATTTCTTATCGCAACCGAGGTCCCTTCCAGTTCTTTAAATAAGGGCACAACATTTAGTTATGTGAGCTATTTTCCTGACCTTTACACAGGCTCATAATAGTGTTATGCTCAGAAATGAGTTTGCTCTTGGTTGTATATATTAGGGTATATCTACACAGCAGTGTTATTTTGGAATAGCTGAAGTTATTCTGAAATAACAAAGTGCGTGTCTACACAGCAAGCTGTTATTTTGAAATAATGTTGAGCTGGAGGACTTCTTACTCTGACTCCTGTAGCCCTCATTTCACGAGGAGTAAGGGAAGTCGAAGGAAGAGTGTTCTTCCTTCGACTTCCTGCTGTGTAGACAGTGCTAAAAACCAAGTTAAACTATTTCAAGTTCAGCTATGCAATTGATGTACCTGAAGTTGTGTATCTTAATTTGACTTTAGCCTGCAGTGTAGATGTACCCTTGGGTGCCACAGGACTTCTCGCTGTTTTTGCAGATACAGACTAACTTGGCTATCCCTCTGGGACTTATGCTAACATGATCTCTTTATATATAGATTTATATTGTGCTTCCCTCAATAAGAGAACAAGTGATCAGTATCAGTTGTTTATAATATATTTAGCCTTCTCCAATCCCAGGCTAAATCCCTATCCCGAGCAGGGAAATACTATAATGCCCATTGTACAGATAGGTAACTGAGGCAATGAGCAATTAAGTGACATTTCTGAAGTTTGTGACAGAACTGGGAATTGCACCCAGATTTCCTAAGTCTCAGGTTCCTGCCTTCCCCTCAAGAACTATCTTCCTTCCCAGGAGGCAGGATTTGGGCCTCAACAGTTTTGCCAACTGTGGAAAATAATGTTTATGGACAGTGTAGAAAAAATTATGGACAACCAAACTTTTTTACAGACACATTCTTATGTAATATAAAAAGAGTTCACAAGGACAGACGTGAACAGTGTTCAGTGTTTTAATTCCTACATCACAACAGCAATGTTATGAGCTTAGTTTAGCCTACTTACAAGTCACAACAGCATCCTCCAAGTGCTCCAGTTTGTGATCATACAACGCAGCAGCCACACTGTCAATCTGCGCTTTGGTAATTTTTCCAGGTCCATTTTGACAGCCAATAATCCTTCCAGAATAGGAGTGGACAGTTTCTTGCTTAAAGTGATGCTGAGACTTGCCGGTGGGAGGCTGCTATGCCTGGCCTGCTGTACTCCCTCACCCTGCCCACAGCCGTGGGGAGCTCAGTTGCACACTGGCCAAAGGTTGCTTGCTTTGATGATGCAAGTGAGGCCAAAGAAAACTTCAACGTTGGAGGTGGAGAAGAACAGCTTCTGCCAGTCAGCAGCAGGTCAGAGGGACTCCCTCCAGGAGAATTCCTCTCTCTGCTCCTGCCCCGGGAATCGTAGACTTCCTGGTATGGATATCTAAATGTTTTATGGATTTTATGGACAGATCCAATTTTAGCTCTTTTTTATGGACTGTCTGTGAATTTACTCATGACTTGCAACTCTGGCCCTCACTTAATCTATAAGAGTCAGTAATTTATACTGGGTCTCCTGGTCATTGGTGGGAATTAGTGAGGGTCTACTATATACCAGTATTAACACACTTCCCATAGTATATTTCACTTACTGTAAGATGGCATCCTGCTCCAGGTTACTCAGATAACGGTGTGTTTCACACTGGTAAAGTGACCGGTATCTAGGATTCCACTTGCACTTATCTTGTTTTCTGATGTCATAACGACCAACACCAACTGGGTTCTGAGCAAAGAAAGTCAGACATGGTTCTGCATTGTTAAAGGCGCTGTTATACATACACCTGGGAAGTTGTGTCCATGACTTCAGTGGTAGTAAGGTCAGGTCATCAGTTTGCAAACAATCTAGAATATTTAACAGCAATCACCACCACTACCTCTTATACTTGAGAACGGAGGAATTAGGGACTCATCCCTCCATTTAGGTTCAGTCTATACATCAACCATCCTAATCCGATCCAATGGTTCCAATTTCCCCAAAGACATTGGCCACCATTCCCTTCAATATGACTTCCCCAACAGCCTAGAACTAACTCTAATCAAGTTCCACTTTATAGTTTGTAGTTTAATCGGTGGAGTTCCTGCATCAATTACAAAGAAGTCTTCATCCTTGATCTTTTTCAAATTGCCTGTTGCCTGCTCTACTGCATAAAGGCAGGAAACTGCACAGGAGTCGGCACCTCATCTCTAGCTACAGGGACTACTTCACATTAAAGCATTTCCTAGCTCCTTTGAGCCCTTCAGGCTTCATTCTAGTTCACTATGGGAAACTAGAGAAGATTATTACCATAGACAACATCAGAAAAGCATTAAGGGAAGAAGCAGTTACCTGCCCCATCTCTTCAACTTTCCGCTGCTAAAAGAAATTCTGTTTTTTCCAGCAATAGAGTGTGACTTTATCGGAGTATATATTGCTTTGCCCCCTAAAGAGCTAAAATCTGCTGCACAACTGAGAACATTCCTGAAATCACTTGGTTGGAGAGCAGTAACCAGTTGGTTGGTATACAACATAACTGATGAGGGAGAAAGGTATACAGGGAATTCTGGCTAAAGAAGCTGAGCTCAACCTTCTTTTTTTTTTAAAAGTACCATTGTGTTGTTAATGTCCAGACCAGCAATGTTGTTTGGAGTGTTATTGTAGCTGTGCTGATCTCAGAACAAGAGAGAGACAAGGTGAGTGAGGTAATAGGTTTTGTTGAATCAACTTTTGGTTGGTAAAAGAGACAAGCTTTTGAGCTGCCCAGAGCTCTTCAGCTCTGAAGCAGAGCTCTATGTAGCTTGAAAGCTTGTCTCTTTCACCAGCGGAACTTGATGCAATAAAACATAATACCTCACCCCCTGGTTTCTCTCATACCAACAATAGTGGGTGAAGAAGATGATCTAAAAGATACCCCCCCACACACACACACACACACTACAGTGTTAATTTGGAAAGGATAGACTGTGCCACTGCTAAACCTGGTTGGGGATGTACCTGTGGGGTCAGGTGTCTTAAATTTGGTCTTTGGACCATGAGACCCACCTCCATATGTTCTGTGTAGTTTGTTTTATCCAAAGCACAACTATAGATCTAGCATCAGTGAGAGAGCCGACTTGGGAGTGCAGGGTGGCAGCCCATCAGCAGACTCTACATGACCCCATCATAGAGGGAAGAGGAGAAAACATTTTGAATGACTGTCAGGAAGCAACTACCTCTGAAGACTTTCTTCTTGCTTACCACTATCCAGTCCTGCTCCTCCATTAATAAATCAATATTTTGAAAAAGCCCAGTAAATTCTGTGGCATGGATTTCTCAGAAAGCCCACTACAGCATTGCCCATCCTCCTCCTGTGTTCTACACACAATTGCTTATGCACAATATTTCGACACACACAACTCTATACAGCATTGAGCCTACCCAGCATGGGTGATGGAGAGTGCATGTTATTTTTGAAGTGAGTAAATAGAATTGTGAGGACTTATTGCGTTGATGTGTATAGTAAGAGCATAATTGAAACTGCCTTCTTGTGCGGAAAGCAGTGCAATGAAGTTATCCCCTCTCTATGTGGCTTCAAGTGTGATTTCTAACCTTCCTTGTAGTCTGATAGTAGCTGTGTGCATTGTAGATGTGACACGATATATTAATAGAAAGGGATAGACAAAGTCAGTGGAATTCTTTCCATTGACTTCCATAAGCTTTTGATCAGGCTGAAAAGGGCCAGGGTATTCATGTTCTTTAGGAACCTGTTTATGGACAAAGTTGTAGAGCATCACTGTTTGGGTGAGACGGATTCTGACTTTCAGTGGGAAGATCAGTGTGTCCTGGAAGAAGCAGACAGCATGGAAATTTTCATTTGTCCACAGCTATTCCTACCATGGATTTTCCACTCACCGTGTTTCCAATAAAGAGGCGGTATGCCTTCCTGTCGACTCTTTCGGCAGACGACCAAAATGGCGGTTGATTGAAGTACTCTGATCGCTCCACATGCTTTGGATCATGTGAGCCTGGTCCTACGGCATACTACAACAAAATGACAACCAGTAAACCAATGATGTATTGCATAGGTACCTAACTCACGTGCTTAAAATTAGGCACTCACTTAAGCATCTTGGGTCTGAAGACTTTGTCTACCCTTTAAAGTTTAAAGTGCTTCTGTGGCAGCGCTTTCATTCAGCAGAGTGGCCATGGCAGGAGTGCTGTAGAGTTCTCCCAGCTCTCTGAGTAAACCATCTCTACAAGGGGAGTAGCTAACGGCACTGGGAGCACGGCTCCCGATGCTGTAGTCCTGTTTACACTGGCACTTTACAGTGCTCTAACTTGCTGCGCTTAGGGAAGGGCTGTTTTTTCACACCCCTGAACCAGAAAGTTTCAGAACAGTAGCGTGGCAACGTAGACTTAGAGTATGTCTATACTATAGAGTTTTTTTGGAAAAACTGCCATTTTTCCAAAAAAACTTCAATTAGTCCACACTGCAGTTGCGTTCTTTTGGGGGAAAATCAAAAGAACCAAGGGGTTTTTCCAAGATTGGTAAACCTCTTTCTACAAGGAAGAAGCCTTTTTCTGAAAGAGCTCTTTCGGAAAAAGGTGTGTGTGGATGGGGAAGAGGGAGTTTTTTCTAAAGAAGATGGAAGAGGAAAAAGCACAGATGCCCTGGTGGCTACTCCATCCATAGTAATCACAGCTTAAATGTGAGACAGCATCCATACAGTGTGGATACTATCTGTCGAAAAAGCAGATAGCTTTTTCAATGCACTTTGGCAGTGTGGCTCTCTTTTGGAAGTTTTTTCAGAAACTTTTTAATCTCTTCTGGAAAAGCTTCTTCCAACAGAAGCCTGCAGTCTACACATAGCTTTAGCCTTAGTTAATTCTGTTGTATTCTTCTGGTAGCCACTTAACTGAGAGGCTACTTCATGCCAGATACCAGGTGCAGGAAACAGTCATGGCTGTACTGTGATGATAGGAATAAGCATACCAGAAATGGGAGAGAGAAAGGGTATGTCTACACAGCAAAGTTTACACAGCAAAGTTATTTCGAAATAACAGCCCTTATTTCAAAATAACTTTCCTAACGTCTACACAGCCAAATTGCTATTTTGAAATAAATTTGAAATAGTGGAGCGCTTATTTCGAATTTGGTGTAAACCTCATTCTAAGAGGAATAATGCCAAATTCAAAATAGCTATTTCGAAATAAGTGCTGCGTAGACACTTATTTCAAAATAGGGGGCCTCCAGCCTTCCCAGGTAGCCCTGGTGGCCACTCCAACCTCAACCAAGAACACTCCTCTTTCTCCTCCCCTCACTGGAGCCCTTAAAGGGATAGACTCTGGCCACAGTGCCTGTGCCAGTTCCAAACCTGCCAGCCCAGAGCCAGCAATCATTGCCCCTGACGCAGTGGCCCCAAAACCTGAGCCAGCAAGCCACTGGCAGCCAGCCCTCCACCACTCCCCAGGAGCAGTCTGCCAGCTCCCAGGAGCCTGCCAGGGCCTGGAGAAGGCGGGCACCTTCCTGGTCCAGGGCAGAGATCATGGACTTTATTCAGGTTTGGGCGGGATGCCCCCAACATCCATGATCTCTGCACTAGATGGAGGAACGTGGCCTCTATGGCAGGTCTGGTGGGACCCCCACCCGAGCCCTGAGCTTCCCTTTCCCTTTGCTTCCTCCTTCCAGCTCCCTCCTCCCAGGTTTCCCCCTCCCCTCTCCCACCCTCTCTCCTCCCTTCTCCCACCTCCTTTCCCCAGTCTTACCAGAGTTTCATCTCCCCCTCCCCCATTTTTGTTAAATAAAGAGAGTTTGTGTTTATGAAAAAAGTGTATTTTATTTTACATCAGGAAGGGGGCCAGGTGGGGGTAAGTGGAAGGATGTGAGGGAGGAATGAAGCACAAGCCCCCAGTGGGGCAGACCAGGGAGACTGTTAGTGCTCCTAGGGTGGAAGCTCTCCTGCAGGGCCTCCTGGATACTGACAGCCCCCCAATGGACCTCTCGGATGGCAGCCTGCAGAAAGTGCAGCCAGGCTTGCAGCAACGCATCCAAGAGAAGCACCAGAGTGCCCACGGGCAGCTCCGGCTCAATGTTGCAGAGTGTTATGGTATCCTGAGTGAGGGCAACCAGAGCACGCAGAGACAAAATGCTTTGCTGTCCCTCATTGAGGTAGGCAGGTAAGCAGGGAAACCTGAGAACCAGCTGTCCAGGGGGAGTTCCTTTAAGCACAGGCCTCAGGCAGCAGCCACACAAAGTAAATCCTGACCTGATGCCCTGGTTCTGGCTGGCCTTAAATGTGATTCAGTGTCCACTCAGTGTGGACGTTTGAAATGCATTTTGTGTGGAGATTGCCTATCTTCTAGAACTGGAAGGGACCTTGAAAGGTTATCAAGTCCAGTCCCCTGCCTTCACAGCAGGACTAAGTACCATCCCTGACACATTTTTGCCCTGAATTCCTAAATGGCCTCTGCAAGGATTGAACTCTCAACCTTGAGGTTAGCAGGCCAATGCTTAAACCACTGGGCTATGTGTAGATGCATTATTTGAAAGGAGCTATTTCAAATTAACTATTTCAAAATAGCTTATTTCAAAATAATGCTGTAGTGTAGACATACCCAAAGGCAGCCAGATGCTGAAAATGAGATTGCTGCTTGAACTATTTGCAGTTGGAATTCAATTCAGTGACCCACCACTCATTAACAGATATCCACCTTTACTCATATACAACATCCTGTCATGCAGGCGTGGTACAGGCCTTCCCCGCCCCTTTCTCCCATTGAATTCAGATGGAGCTCTGCAATGCAGCTTGACCCTGAAATGGAACTACGCAAAACACTTCCTGGCTACGTCTAGACTGGCATAATTTTTCGCAAATGCTTTTAATGGAAAAAGTTTTCCGTTAAAAGCATTTGCGGAAAAGGGCGTCTAGATTGGCACGGACACTTTTCCGCAAAAGCACTTTTTGCGGAAAGGCGTCCGTGCCAATCTAGACGTGCTTTTCCGCAAAAAAAAGCCCCAATCTCCATTTTCGCGATTGGGGCTTTTTTGCGCAAAACAAATCTGAGCTGTCTACACTGGCCCTTTTGTGCAAAAACTTTGCGCAAAAGGACTTTTGCCCGAACGGGAGCAGCATAGTATTTCTGCAAGAAGCACTGATTTCAGACAGTAGGAAGTCAGTGTTCTTGCGGAAATTCAAGCAGCCAGTGTAGACAGCTGGCAAGTTTTTCCTCAAAAGCACCTGCTTTTGCGGAAAAACTCGCCAGTGTAGACACAGCCCCTCTGTTTGCCAGGAATGGATGACAGGAGAGGGATCACTGTTCTGGTCATTCCCCCTGAAGCACCTGATATTGACCATTGTCAGAAGACAGGATAGTGGGCTAGATGGGCTTTTGGTCTGACCTAGTCTGGCCATTTCTATGTATGTTCTTATGTTCTCTTTCCTTCGACCAGTTTTTATTCCCCATGTGAATTCAGAATCCTATTGGCTGACATTTGTGGCTGCCAAATTGTTAAATGCTCTTTAATCCTCTTAGCTCTGAAGTCCCAAAATGACTCATAGACTTTAAGGTCAGAAGGGACCATTTTGATCATCTAGTCTGACCCCCTGCCCAATGCAGGCCACAGAATCTCATCCACCCACTGCTAGAATAATCCTCTCACCTATATCTCAGATATTGAAGTCCTTGAAACGATGATTCAAAGACCCCAAGATGCAGAGAATCCTCCCACTAGTGACCCATGCCTCATGCTGCAGAGGAAGGCGAAAAACCTCCAGGGCCTCTGGCAATCTACCCTGGAGGAAAATTCCTTCTTGACCCCAAATATGGCAATCACCCAAAATAACAGAGACTGAGTGAGGTTCTAGTCCTTCACATGTACCATCAACGTTGTTAGCTAAATTCCAGTGATAATCTTTATTGTTGATGTAGAGAGAGGAAAGAACCCAGCTTGACCTTCAGTTCCCAAGGTGAGTTTGCAACACTGACGATAAGATAAACTGTATTTTCAATGATAACACAATCAGATTTGGTCTAGAGTCACTGGGAGCCTCTAACCCTTGAATCCCATGATATTGCTTTTAATTCCTTTGCTGAAAGGCACTTAAGCATGTGCATAACTTTAAGCATGTGCTTAAATCCCATGAAAAGCATATGTTTAAAGTTAAGCATGTTGTATCATGCTTTGCTGAACTGGGCCAGTAAGTAGTTACTTTACAACATGAAAGCACATTGCAAGATGCTGTCAGCCGGGAACATAAAAATGCCAAATGAAATTAAAAGTCCTTAATTTTCAAATATCTTGCAATAAGAATAATAGATGCTAAGAAGCACATCTTTCAAAATGCTTGGCTGAGCACATGGATCCGGACATTGTAATTGAGCTCAAATAGTCACAACAGGATGGGCTACCAGTGCACATCCGGGTGTGCTATGATCTTCCAGATGCCTTCTGCTGCCCAAGGAGTTCACTTGTAGCCAACCCACACAGAACCGGGAAAGGTTTATTGCTCTGAGTGTGGTTATTGTTACCAGGCTCCCTATTAATTTCAAATTTCACTTACAGATATTAAGAGGTTTATGCAACGACTCCTTCAACAGTGAACAATGGTTGGTTGTAGGAGGATAAGGAAATATAAGGGGTTGAATCACCTTTCCCAGGGCTCCTTTGGATATTTGATTTTTCTTTCTTTGTTTCCTAATGTACCTGCTCCTCCAGGTTTCCATTTTATCTGCACCCCTTTTCTCTGTCACTCTAACTAGCCCTAGCACTCTCTTTCATGGGATAATGGCAATGTCACACTCACCCACCCAGCATAATAACTTACCTGAGAGCTATTTAACAACTCCAGTGGTTTTTTTAAGAGTGTAAAGTTTCCAGAGGCTGCAGATTGATGCTGAAAGGCAGCCAACGGGCTTATGGGTGCAGACGGGAAGGCCTTTGAATGCCTCCAGGTGTTCCCCCCCCCCACAGCTGCCTCCTCAGCCCCTAGGCTCCTTTAAAGTTGTCGTGTTAGTTTAAGTGCTTAGTTGGAAGCTTTAAAATTAACTTCCACCTCAAAGCTGAGAGGAGTCAGCCTGAAAGAAGGGGAGGAAATGCAGGTTGCAGCTGCCTTTGTTAGTAATAATTGAGGTAGAAGAAAAAGATCATGAGGCTATTCATTTCCCTGGCCCTTTTGGTGATGAGTTGCCAGCTGGGCACTGGTGTATGGCTGTAACCTCCCCCAAGGAGAGGCCAATCAGAACAAGGCTTTGGACAGTTCTGTTCCAGCCTTCCCAATGGAGCCTCCTCTCCAGGTGACCAGGAGAGGGAAGATAATGCCCTAGCAATGGTTGACCATCCCAATCTGGATTGTAGCAGCAGATTTCCTTCCCTCCCTCAGGGGGCTGCCCCAGTCCTAGAAGAGCGGGTGAGTTTTCTGCCTTTGCTTTTTGGCCTCAATCTCCCACAGTGCCATGTGATGTATCTGCAGCAGAGGGCGTCCCGCACAGTCACATTGAGGGAGAGGAAAGGAACGTGGCCTCACTGACCGTGGCGCGTGGACACTGGCTGAGCGTGGCCCAGAAGATCCGCTCTGAGGGGCAGCCGGGGTTCCGAGGTAGGGTGCTGAAAATGCCTTTTTTCTTTCTGTCCTTGGTGTTCAGCTCTTCCACAAAGCTCTTGACATTGCTGGTGCCGAGTTCGAGGCACTTCTTCTAAAGAGACAGACGAGAGGAGAAAATGTGACACCATTGCCTGGCAGGCCACCAGTAGAGCCGGATAAGGCCCATAGACCTTCATTCAGAATGTGCTGACTGCTTGATTGCCTTGCCACTGCCATGGATCACATCCCCTCTTCTCCCTGCACAATCTCTGCCCCATCCCGGGCTCTCTAGGCCAGATATCTTTCCAGCGTGCCATAAATGTACACCATGGCCTTCTGCATCGCTTCAGGCGAGGGGCATTCCCCAGGCGGACAGGCAGGACATCAGCTGCCACGCAGAGGCCCTCAAAGGAATATTGCCCCAGAATCCACCCAGAACAAGGAGAAAAGACCGCTCATCGACAATTTTGTTACTTTTATGTGGCGGGTTTGAATTCAACCCTGGGTCAGTAGGAAGAGGAGGCCGTGAGTCATTTTCATTGGCCGTGCCAAATGAAGGGCAAAGAGCAAGCAACTAAGCAACTCTGACTTTGTCTACACTCCCACTTTTGTCAGTAAAACTTTTGTCATCAGGGTGTGAAGAAAACAGCACCCTCTACTCCCCCCCCCCCACCGACCGACATGAGTTTCACCAACAAAAGCACTGGTGTCTGGACAGTGCTAAATTTGCAGGAGAGGCTCTCCTGTTGACATAGCTTATGACCCTATTTGGGGATGGTTTAATTATGCCAGGTGAAGAGCTCTCCTCCAATGGCACAGAGCAGCTACATGTGGACCCCAGAGTGGCACAGCTGCACGGGTGCTGCTGTAAGTTCTAATGTAGACGTAGCCTAAGCAGCAAAAAGTAAGTGAGCTTTCTAGGACTAGATCTTCACATAAATTGGAGCTTTACTGATTTCAAAGGAGCTGTCCTGCTTTACCTCGGCTGCAGATCGGGCCTTGAGTTTTAATAATCTAAGCTGTTAATAGTAACAACAAGGATGGGTTTTAAAACTATGTGGTCTCACCTGACAGCACCCCTCTCGTGGCAGCAATCTGTGAGGGCTGTCCCACCCGCTGGACAAGTTATTAAATTATTAACCAATACAAGGATGTTTTAGTAAAAACAAAACCCTCTCACAAAGGTACATACTTCCACAGCGTAATGTCCACAGATAATAGGCTTTGACCTGTCTCCTGTGAAGGTGTCATACGGGCCACGATTACTGATCACTTGTTTCAACATCTCATCGGTACCGTTTTTGAGATTGTAGGTGGCTGGCCCCAAACCACTTCCCTAAAATCATCAGGATGCAGAAACAACCATCAGTGACAATGATATGGAGCCCGCCAGGTGGCCCTGGGGGTGGAGTCCTAAGTGATGCTCATATGGAAGCCATGATACTAGCTAAGAGTTTGTCTCCAGACATCGACAACATTGCTGTTACATATTGCAGCAGCACCCCGAGGCCGTCACTGAGATCTCAGTCCTGTACAAACACCTCGTGAGAGGCAGAGCCTGCCCCAAAATAGGGGTGTGAAAGGTTAATTGATTAACTGTAAGTATCTCCCTAAATGGGTAATGCTTTACCAGTTCTGGGTAACCTCTCAGGGCTGGAACTCTCCCCCCCACTCCCTCCACTGTGAGCAGGGGGCTGCTCCAGCCTCATCCAAAGCAGCCCTTGTCTGTGGCAGGCCCAGATGATGCAGGCAGGGGCTACTCCAACACAGGGGCTGGGAGCGAGAGTCCCACAGGCTGGGGGCTGCTCTCACTTAGTCTGTTGATCAGTTAAACATTAGGTTAGCCTGACATTTAACCGGTTAAATGATTAACCAGGGTTTTATATCCCTGCCACAAAGAGCAATGTTCTATGCTCTGCCCATGGCTTTTCCCTCTCGTCCACACTGCCCACTCTTGGGTGGTCAAATAATAAAGGAGTAGCCAACTCTTTGTTTCAATCATCCACTATTCCTAGGGTCCTGAATTAAAAGCGGCACCTTCAGAAATGCCAGGGTTGGTCCCTCTGTATGGCAGCCTTTAAACTGAGTGGCTTGGCCTGTCCCCTTTGCTTAGTCTCCGTTGCTCATGGCATGCAGGTGGAACACTCCTAGGAGACCTCCTTGGGATCCTGCACATGTGCCTCTCTGGAGGACGGCCCTGGTCAGTGTGCTGGGGGCAGGAATGAGAGTGGGAATGTGAGGAGCAGAGGAAGCAGGAATTCTCTGTGTATCATCTCTTGCTGTCCCACTGGCTCTTTGGGCAGGAACTGAGACAGGGGTTCATGAGGTTGGCTGCAATTTCTAACGTTCTTAAACAGCATTTTTCTTGCTTTCCCAATCTCTAAATTTCAATTACTATTGATGGAAATAAATTTGTGGATTAGTGTGGGTGTTAAAATCAACAGCTAAATTCTAAGTTCTCTGAAAAACAAAACAAACCAACCCAAGAGTTTTCAGGTGCCTAGTGTTCCCTGGAATCATAGGGAAAAGTTCTCCTCCTCTTCCCTCAAAGTTGGAAGTGGCACCTCTATTGAGCCGTGTAGCCAGAGGGCTGTGGGAGGACCAGGAGTTTTTGCAAGATGTAGCTCCCATGCAACAGCATGAAGCCCGCCTTGAGCCTCATACCAGGCACCACAAGCCACAGCAGCAGTACAATACGCCATATCCCAGGCCACCCTTACTTCTGTTCTACAGCTGGCAATGGCATCTTCTGCGGAACTGTGCTCCAAGCCAGCACACACTGGTATCAGGTTGCCCTGCCAGTGCTTAATTCATGCCAGGGGTGTGCTCTGGCATCTCTTTCAATACAAATTGAACACTGGAGGAGGCAGCGGGGCTCAGAGGTGATCGGGTGAGGGAAACCTTCGGATCCGGGGTGATAGGGAGGGCACCACAGTACAAGTTCACCCAGGGTGCAATTTTCCCTAAGGCCAGCCCTGCTCTCTTGGATGCTGTCCTCCTACCTCTCCCGCACAGCAAGGGGCACGCCAGCTTTGTGCAGCCAGGCAGTGCAAGCTGTATGCACCCTCTCTGGAGAGAACAGCAAACGCTGGCATTCCCTGAGCCTTCAGATACACCCGAGGGCTCCTGGTTGGCCACGAGAGGAAGCCTGTAGCTACATTGCTATGGTCTGCTGTACTGAACAAAATAGCCAGGCTGTGTCTAGACTGGCAAGTTTTTCCGCAAAAGCAGGTGCTTTTGCGGGGAAACTTGCCAGCTGTCTACACTGGCCGCTTGAATTTCCGCAAGAACACTGACTTCCTACTGTCTGAAATCAGTGCTTCTTGCAGAAATACTATGCTGCTCCCATTTGGGCAAAAGTCCTTTTGCGCACAGCTTTTGTGCAAAAGGGCCAGTGTAGACAGCTCAGATTTGTTTTGCGCAAAAAAGCCCCGATCGCGAAAATGGCGATCGGGGCATTTTTGCAGAAAAGCGCGTCTAGATTGGCCACGGACGCTTTTCCACAAAAAGTGCTTTTGCGGAAAAGCGTTCATGCCAATCTAGACACTCTTTTCCTTCCGCAAATGCGTTTAACGGAAAAGTTTTCCGTTAAAAGCATTTGCGGAAAATCATGCCAGTCTAGACGTGGTCCCAGATACCCTGAGGCTACAGCTATACTGCAGCATGTGACAGGGTCAGGCTGAAGGACTGCAGTGGAGAGAGAGAAGGGCAGTTCTAAAAGGCAGCAAGGGCTCTGGCTAATCAGGAGCAGGGGAGGCAGGGCTGTGGTAATTCAATCAGGTCCAGCTGATCTCACTTGAGGCTGCCAGGGAGCCTTTTAAAAAGAGGCCTTCCCTGCAGGCAGAAAAGGGGGAGTGGGAGAAGTGGAGTGAAAGGAGACTAGTGCAGATGGGGAGCAAACCAGACAGGCTGAGAAAGGGAATGGCAGCATTGCCAGAGATGGGGGAGGGTGAGATGCTCCAATGAGGGGCTTTGGGCTCCTTTTTCCCTGGCAGCCTAAGAACCCAGGGGAGTGTGGGAGAGGACTGTTTACACAGCCCAGACTGACCCAGGGGCACCTGTCCTAAGGCCCTTTTGCTTGCTGGGGGACAAGGACTCAAACCCTGCCAAGGGCAATCAGGACCAGTACTGAGACTGCTAGATTGAGGACTGAGCAGGGGTCTGGGACCCAGGAGCGGGGTTACCAAGTCACCAGAGGTATCCCAAAATAGCTATTCTGTGTCTTTTGAGTGCACCCGTTATTTCAAAATATAACGGGCTCGCTATTCCATTGTCCCTATGAACCTCATCCCACAAGGAGTAAGGGGCATTATGGAATAGGCATTTCTTTTGAAATAAGAGCTCAAATTGCGTTGCTTATTTCGTGCTCCGGGTGCAGTGTATAGGTGCACCTTGAGGGAGCGGCTCCCATGGAGCCTTCCCATTTGCTCTTTCTGGTCACGGTCAGTACGGGGATGGAATGGAAAACAAATAGCGCAGACTTGCCGCAGCAGACGGAAAGTCGGATTTTTCAGTTTTGCTGTCCATTATCCCTTGAGCATTTGTCAAGCGTCTCTCCTTCTCCTCAATCAGGGCATAAGGGTTTCCATTCTTGCCATAAGACCCAGGGCCAGGGTAGCAATCCTGCAGAAGTAAGAGGAAGAGGGTTACTAACTAAACTGGCTACAACTGCCAATAAAGAGCCAAATTCTGCCATTCAAGCGTATTAAATGCAATGATTCTTTGTCATTCAGTAGTGCCCACAGGCCCTAACCAAGATCTGGGGTATACGGAGTTCGGTGGTGCACAAATATCCAAAGACTTGGTCTCTGCCATGAAGATCTTCCTATCCGGTATTTCTCTGTGGAGTTATGCTGCCTCCAGGAGGTGCTGTGCCTCATAGTGGTCCAGGGGTGGCAATGCTAACAATACCTAGCTGTCATACAGCACTTTTCATCAAGCACAAGGCCCTAGTCTGTCTTTAATGGCCTCAGCACATCCCTGTGAGGCAGGGCAGGGCTGTCATCCCATGGAACAGATGGGAAACAGGCACAAGGAAGCTTAGTGACTTGCTCAAAGTCTGTGGAGGAAGAGAGACTAGAACCTGTCTCCCAAATCCTTGTGTCCTGGACAAACTCTTCTCTGTGGCACCTGAGTGAAGGAAATACAAGAGCAGGAAAGTTCCAAGGGGTGTTCCCCTGGCACACCATGCACCAGATGACCTAAAGAGAATCCCAGCAAGGAATACCAAAGATCCCACATTAGAACAGATCAGACAGCGATTCCCTTGCCCTACCATGTCCCCTCCATGCAAACATGCTACATTTGAACCTGAAAGGCAGGTATGGCCCAAATCAACATCAGGTTCAAACCTCACTTGGCTCCAGGTCATGAAGCCTGCAGCACAGAATTAAATTCTGGGTCTTTATTAGCGCAAATTGCGTATCTTATTTTGAGTTTAAGGTGCTGTGTAGACACACCCATAAAGACCCAGAATTTAATTCTGTGCTGCAGGCTTCATGACCTGGAGCCAAGTGAGGTTTGAACCTGATGTTGATTTGGGCCATATCTGCCTTTCAGGTTCAAATGTAGCACATTTGCATGGAGGGGATATGGTAGGGCAAGGGAATTGTTCCACGAGGAGTAACCGTTAACTCGAACTAAGGACTGTTTGACTGCCGTGTGTAGCTGCGGGCAGTTAGTTCAGACTAGGAGGATTTAAAAATGGCGCTTAGACGGGAAGATGCAAATAAAGCCCGGGATATTTAAATCCCGGGCTTCATTTGCAACTTTGAATGCCTACATTAGCCTCCCTAGTTCGAACTAGGAGGCTAATGTAGACATACCCTAAATTTCAAAGCCTGTTGCAAAGAGGATTATTGTTTTACGGACTGGAAAGCTGAGGCACACCCTAGTGAGACAACTTGTCCCAGGACAAGTGTATGGCAGAACCCAGAATAGAATCTCTAGGTGAAGTCTTGGCCTCCACTGGGGATGTTAAATATCAGTTAATTGAATAGATGAGTAACCACATGAATTCTTATCAGTTAGTCGACTATTCTATAGTCTCTGGGGGTGGGGCTGGCAGCAGTGTGGGTGCCAGGCGGGAGCTAGTCTGCGAGGGGAGCCAGTTTAAAAACCAGCTCCTCTTATGGACCGGCTGCTTGTCGCCCTTTGCTGCTGCCTCTGATAAAGAGGCAGCAGTGCGGGGTGGCAGCAACCCCTCTCTGGAGTAGAGGGGGGTCTGAGTTTGCACCTGACCTGGTGCAAACCGGAACTGAGCCAGGCTGCCTCGGCCTGCCTGCCTGCCCGGCTCCTAATACACTTTAAATGCAGAGCCACAGTCCCGGACCTGATGTGAGCCAGAACTGATCTGGGCTGCTGGCCAGCCTGCTAAAAAAAATTACTGATTGGGGGTGGCAGGAGGGAAACGTGTGTAGTCTATAGCATTAACCTATATACTTTTGCTTATCAGTTAACATCCCTAGCCCCCACTGAAGGCAGTGGAACGGGATTTCACCCCCACATGCCCTCATCCCCAAGCCACTAGTTCACGTTGCATCACTACGGTTTGGAAGTTCTTATCAAGTACAGCTGGTTACATTCTGCCCCAGTAAAGGATAATCCAGTACAATCTTTGTATCTCCCTAAGCAAACAGAGAAATCTGACCTCCTTACGGTTTTATAGTTAAAAACTTCTCAAAAGATAGTAAGGCAAATTAGAAATCTGAACTCACACAATTTCATAGTTAGCATGCGGAGACTTCATTGGCACCTGATGCCTTGCCAGTACAGGCATCTCTGTAACAAATACAATCAGCTGCGATTCACACAGGCTCCCACTGAGAGTCACTGTTGGTTCACACATATAGTTATAAAATCAGCAATCGTGGCTATGCCCTGGGTCTGAGTATTAACACAATATTCTTCAGTGCCTGTGAAGAAGGGATGCTTCACAGCACTGACCCTTTTTTTAGTTTCTTTTGCTGGGCAGTGCAGATGTGGGGTGGCAAAAGTGGCCAGCTTGGAGGGTTAGAACACGGTCAGTACCTTCCAGCTCTCCTCCCCACATTCTGGTAGAACTAGAAGTCTTGGTGAGGGATTTCTGGGGCTAGAAGAATATTGCAGAACATTACTCTGTAGGAAAGCTATTTTAAAAGCAAGTTATCACTATTTGGTGTAGCTTCATGGACAATGGGACATGTATGTAAATGCATACGCACTCACACACCTACACTAACACACTGATACTGCGCATACTCTGTATATAGGCAGTGTGATGGGCATTACAGAAATATCTACGACAAACACTGATTTCATAGACTGTGGTATATACATCCATAAATATGGGTTCAGTCCCAGAATTGTACAGAGAACCCCCCTGTGAAATCAGTGGAGGTCCCATGTAAACAGGACACCTTCATAATGTGAAATAGAAAATACTGATATTGTGGTTAAGTTTTTCCCTAGATCAATGCTCGCTAATTGGCTCCCTTTCATAATTCCCTTGTTAATTAAGATGATTTTAGCTGGGCTATCACCAGACAGTGTCAGGTACCAATGAGCAGAAAGCAGCATTCTTAACCCTGGTACTGGTGAAATCAGTTTCCTAGTTGCTTGATTTGGATGAACAGCAATCAGAAAGCATCACTGAGTTTTGACCCTTAGTATTTCTTGTACCACCTACTCTACTTTTAAATTTTGCACAGTTATAAAGGGGACTTGTTTTGGCGCCCAAAAGTATGTATCAAACATTATTAGGTGATCCAATAATATCTCTTCAACAAGAGATACCAGATTATCTATCTTATATATTTCTTGTCAAGTTGTTGTAGTATCTCTGTTGCCTGAATCCGATACATACCCTAATTAAGTCTCTAAACCTCTCTTCTCCAGTGTCGCAGGCTCCTCTGATACTTGAAGGTCGGGTCTCTTGCAGAAAATCTTTGATGTTGTAAGTTCCTGGGCCCAATTTTTCTTTCTTATTGAGAAAAAGAATTTAAAGTTTAATAACAACAAAGTCAAAAACCTAATTTACCCATGAAAATCACCCCTCTCTCCTACATTCAAGCCATCCCGTGTTGCTTAATATTTGAAAGATAAAACATAGACACAGTCAGGTTTTTTGTCCAGGGAAAACAGTCAAATTCAGATCTCACCAGATACTTGGTTTTCTTCAATGTCTCCTTAAAATTAAAATGAGGCATCTGGGTAAGTCGTGCCACTTCCTGTGCTCTGGCCCAGCCAGAATTTGAAGCCTTCTCCTGCAGCATAGAGGAACTAACGCTTCCATAGTCAATATTGTAGGTGCCTGGGCCTAACTTTCTGCCCTAAAATGAAGCAAAAGGTTAAATCTAAAGGCTTTTAGATTACCACTGAGTTAAGCCAGTTTGATGCATGCAATGCCATTGAAAAATGGAGTGCTATAGCAGGGCCCTACAAATTCTAATCATATTGTTTGCAAATTCTCTTTACTACACACAAATAGGGAATGAGTGTCAAGAGAGCTTTTGTAACCCACACACCTAGGCTATGTCTACACTGGCGGCTTCTTGCACAAGAACATCTTGCGTCCACACTGCCATGTGCGAGCTGTGCTTTTGCGCAAGAGCACCCATGGCAGTGTGGACGCTCTCTTGCGCAAGAAAGCTCCGATGGCCATCTTGCACAAGAAATCCCTGCCGAGCCTCCACACTGCCCTCTTGCGCAAGAGGGCTTACACCTGTTAAAAAAGAGCATAGCTCTTGCGTAAGGAGCTCTTTCTTACCACGCCGTACTGTAAATTTCCTTGCGCAAGAGCGGGCGGGCAGTGTGGACGCTCTGCAGATTCTTGCACAAGAATGGCTGTACTTGCGCAAGAAGCCGCGAGTATAGACATTGCCCTAGAGTGGTTACTGAGCAATGCAAGTGGTACCTAGACCACAGCAACAGTTAAGACTAAGGTACCTCTACAGCATGAGCTGGGAAGCAGCTGGCTTTTAGCTCAGAGGGTAGAGGCTCCTATACTCTGCTCCAGAGATCCAAGGTTCAAATCTGCCCAGTGGCAGTTACATTATAACAGTGGTCCCCAACCATTTGAGGCTGCTGGGCTCCAGGGGGCGTGGCCATTTGCCTGCCAGGCACCAGAGGGCGGGGACACTTGCATGCCTGGGGCCGGTGCCCCACCACGTGCCCGGGGCCGGCGCCGCGCGCCCAGAGTGCAGGTGGCCAATTTGCAGCGCTCCCGGGTCCGGCGCTCACCGTTCACCTGGGGCCAGCTCCGGCACCATGCATGCGCCACATGCCCGGGTCCAGGCCAGCCCTGAGCACTTGGCAGGCGCACACAAATGCCCCCACAGGTGCCATGGCGCCCGCGGGCACTGTGTTGGGGACCACTGCACTATAGCAATCTATACTGGCTGGGGATCTGCATCCAGATTTCTAGCAGGCTGGATAAATTGCTGATATGAAATCTACTCAAAGGTTCTGTAGGTACACATTACACAGGGAGGTAAATTACACTGGATTGAAGCTCACCCTATATAATGACCATTAATGGAAGTTTTATTATTGATTTAGGATTGCAAACTTTCCCAACTGAATGGACCAGATGCCAGTGCCGGTCGGGATAGTTGCCCTACATTGATTTAATTGTACCTATATTAAATGGACTGCTTAAATTAGATTCAGTGATATTATGCAATTAATTGAAAGCAACAGAATGGATCCATTCAGATTTTTCATGTAAATTGAATTCTGGAAAGAGAATCCAAATGTATCCTTTTTCATTCAGTTTTGCAGAAAGAGCTGAATAAGTGTTTGCTGCTCACATAAAATACAGAAACACTTAGAGACCAACAGGTTTATTAGGGCTAAGCTTTCATTGATAATAACCACTTCATCAGATAGACTGGAGTGGAGTTTACAGAGGCATAAGTATATACATAAGGACAACAAAAGAAAAAGAGTACTTGTGTAAATAGTCAGACTCACCAATTCTGAAGACACTTTTTTGCAGTAGGGTGCCTGTGTATATGTACCAGGTTTCTTACAATTTGGATAAACTGCTGACACATCAAATCTAGCAGAGGATGAAGTATACAGTAAATTTTGGTTTAAAGCACGACTAATTTACAAACGTATGTCCTAGTTCTGTGAACATTTAGGTCTTTTTTTAGGGTCTAGTGTCATCTGTAGAAAGGGTCTCATGGACCTCAGGAAATGTACCAGGCCCTTAGTACGGGCTCAATACTGCACAGATCTACATGCTTCATTTTGTGAGTAGTCCCATTAACTTTAGAGGGATTACTCATGGTTAAAGAGAAACATGAGCATAAATCTTTGTAGGTTTGGGGCCTAACCCCTTTTTGCCGTGAGTAATCTCCGGGATTTCAATGAGATGATGGCTCACTGGAGTGAGCACAGTACCCAAGACTAAATCTTTCCATAATCAGGCCTATTAACTGATGCCCTGTACAAATTACATACAGACACCACTTTATCTGCTACTGAAATGCAGCCCTTGCCGGTGTGAATCATGGAGCCGTTTACCAGCACAGAGTAATGCTACAGCAACAGAAGTCTAGTAAACTATTGAGAGATTTGAGGTAGGCAGAAGCAAATGACCCAAACTGGAATTTGGCCAAGATAACAAGCTTAAGGGCCACTGTCAGTTTAAAAATTATGTTTTAAAACAAATATCCATCCCAAATGTTTAAACCTCAGGCTAGTAAAATAGAATTTTAAAAATCATATGCACTGCTCACTATTGCGGGCGATTTTTCTTTTTCCATTTCCCTTACATTTTTATTTGCTTTTAGTCAGTTTCACTAAAATGGTCAGGGACCAGTCAAATGATGAAATGGTTGGGCTACAAACACCATTAGGAAATGTTAATTTTTTTTTTAATTCCATTGGATTTTTTTAAACAAACATATAGATATTTCTGTTGCATTTAAAGCTAAAAGTTTCCTTTTTACAAAACCTAAGGTTGGGGTCATATTTGACCCATCCAACATCTTTTTTTTTTTTAAACAATCACAGTCTGTGAGATCTTTAACAATAACAAATTATCAGAACCTTGGCTTTGTGTTTCTTCCCAATCCAGTAGCCAAAACACTTGAAGTCAAAGTGAGCATGAACTCAAACCCTGGCAACACCACTTATCTCTAGGAGAGTTTCTGACAAACTCTATCAATAAAAATTCAGACCACATTCTTAGCTGGAGTAAACTAATGTAGCTTCATTTTACAACAACTGCGAATTCTGGCCCCTCACTTAACAAATGCCTCTGCATTGAAGTAGATATGTTTCCATAGTCTACAAATTAAACTAATTTAAAAATATTAATATTCATAAATCAGTCTTTGAGGCCTTGAGCTTGCAAACTGTAATGAACTAATCCCTCACTTGTGAAAAGTCAAAGGACTTCAAGGGGATTGCTCATGTGAATCAAGTTACTCATCTGCGTTTGCAAGGTCAGGGTTTTAGCATCAGCTATTACACAAGGAATCCCAAAACAAGAACTAGGCATACAGATCCATAGATTTCAAGGCCACAGGGGTCTATTGTGGCTTAGCAATGTTTCTGTATTTTATTAGAGGATTAAAAACTTGTGGCTAAAAGAATAAACAAATTCTTTCTCTCCTGCTGTTCAGTACTGAACTAGTAAAGGCAATGCAGGCCAAGAGAGTTCTACATGGGCAAAGTATGATTTTAAGTAACAGGTGTTTGTTCCAAATAAATAGTACAGGTTATTTTCCATAAGGAGGAGAAGCAGGGGGAAAACCCCAATCAATGTACTTTAGATTAACGAGCTGGTTACAAATCTTATCAACCCAGTTACTATACAGGCAGTCCCCAAGTTACGCGGATCCGACTTATGTCGGATCTGCAGTTACGAACGGGATTTGCTCCGCGTCTCCCTGGTCTGCTGGAGACCAGCAGACCAGGGAGACGGGGAGCAAAGCGTCTGAGGACGCCGGCAGCGGGACAGCCGCGGCG